ATCTCATAGCATGTTCACATCTCTCCTCAACTTTCCAGGAAGAATTAGTGGTTTCTCATCAATTAATACACTTCCAGAAAGCAGTTTGGCAGTGTGTACCGAGAGTTAAGAACCTTTAAATCCTTTGACCCAGTAATTCCATTTCCAGAAGTCTAGCCTATAGAATCTAAAATGCTGACTTGTTTGTGTATGTCCATTGCATCTTTGTCATAGCAAAAACAAGACAACTGAATACCCAACAACAGGAGAACAGTCAAGTACACTGGGTTACACGTACTTGATGGCACATATCCTGGATTTTTAAATTCTGTTTATAGATGATGTTGTATGTTTAAGCTATAAGATCAAAGTGACATACACTAAATGTAAAACTGAACATACAACAGGTTGGGAAACTTAAGTTAAAAATGTGGGGCCAGCAGGTGGCATAGTGGTTATGTTGCTGGACTCCCACATAGTCGACTGTGGTTCAAGTCCCAGACCTGGTTGCTTAAAACTCACACTGGGTACATGTGTGTACATGCCCAAAATTCCAAGAGGAGAATGGAGGAGAAAGGATTTTTAGCATGGCCATTCCAACTGGGGGGTGATTTTTTGCTTTCTGTCTCTCTGGTAAGTGTGTGCACTCTAGCAAAAATTTCTACCAAAGAGAAAAAAGAAATGCACAAAAAAGAGCCAGAAGATGGTGTGGTGGTTAAGGTACTGGACTCTCGTATAGCTGACTGTGGGTCAAGTCCTAGAGCTGATGGCTTGCTTTCTCACTTTCTCTGTCTCTCTGGTGAGGACATATGCCCTATAACAAATTTTTAAATAATAATAATGATAAAAATTCTTTAAAATGCACAGAAAAGATATGAAAATAGAATGCAATGAAATGCCAGCAGCTCTAGGTGGTGGAATTATGGGTGATTTTTACTTTCTTCATTATACTCTCCAAATTATCTGCAATGAACACCTATTACCTTTATAATTAGGAAAACAAAGCAAAATGAAAACAAATGACAAAGAATGAATCATGCTTTCTTCTCCTTTTTGTTTCATTTAAAAATAGCTTTTGTTTTTTTCCCTTATTACAAATGCAGTACATGTTCATTGTTAAGAAAGAAAGAAAAGAAAAAGAACACCTGCAGGCCAGCCACCCAGACGTCTCAGCCTTGCTACCTTGGCGTGTATCCTTCTAAATCCCCTTTCCCAGATGGGTAGTTGAACGAGCACATGTGCGCACACACAGGACGCACACACAGATTTGCATATGCTGATCGTTTCATATATGTGGCACCTACTGTGTGCCAGACTCTGACCTTAGCACTTGCTGTGTAGAAACTTCTGTAATCCCACAGCAGCTCTTAGGTCTGCTACCTCTGTTTTGCAGATTTGTGGTGTGAATATTTAATACCATTTCATAGTCTTCTCTTAATACTAACCACACATGGCCTTGCATTTTATTTTATTTTTTAAAGTTCATTTTGTATCTTTCCTTTTTTTTTTTTTTTCTAGAGAGGTTTTTTGCTATAGGGCGCGTGCGCTCGCCAGACAGACAGAGAGAGACATAGAGACAGAAAGTGAGAAATCACCCCCCAGGGGTGCCAGAATCCCTTCTCCTCCATTCTCCTCTCTGGATCTTGGGCATGCACGCACACGCACCCAGCATGAGTTTTAAGCCACCGGGTCTGAGACGCAAACCGCGGTCAACTACGTGGGAGTCCAGCGACATAGCCATTACGCTAACTGCTGGTTCCCCATTTTGTATCTTTCATGAAAGAGAGAGTGTACATGCAAATGCAAGAATGAGAGGGAGAGACAGGCCTCCTCAACAGTCTCATCATGCTGCAGTCCCCTCTCCCAGCCCTCCAGCTAGTCAGGGTCTTAGGGGCATGCATGCCCAGTGTCAGGTAGACTTGGGATCTGAACCCATGCTCAACCTTGTGGCTTCGAGCACTGCAGATCAGTACACTAGGGCCTACACCACTGAGGCTGAGCCAGCCCTGCATTTTAGCTGAGTGTGCCCTGAGAGCAAGGCATGGGAACTGTTCCTGTTTTCTCCTGGCCTACAGTGGACACTGGATAAGTGTTGTCTTGACCACCCTCCTGGGTGGAGCCCATCCACAGAACACTTGAAAGCCCTGTACCTCTTATCTACGGAGCTCGTAGGGCCCGGCAGTGAGGAAAAAAGAGGTGGCGTCTGGCGTGTTGATACTTGGCCACCAAAATTCCAGCCAAGTCTAGCTCTGCCCTGAAAGGATGCTCAGGGTACCCCTGCTCTCTCTGGGCCATTGTTACTGCATCAGCCCTGGGGACTGACACGCTAGCATCTGTTGCTGTGTTCATTCAATAGACAGATGCTGTCCACCCAGGGCCAGGCCCATGCTGGACTCCGGGCACCCGAAAGGGGTCAGGTGTGGCTCCTGTCCTCCAGAAGTTTGTAGTTCGGTGGGAGAGACACAGAAACAGATGCCGACAGCAGCGTGACCAGCATTGTGCAGAGGGGTGCACAGGGAACTTTGAGAACATAAAAGGACTCTCCCCTGCCCTCAGCTCAGGGAACTCTTCCCAGAAGACAGGCTGAGCTGAGGTGAGAGACAGAGGAGATGCATGATTAACTGAAGGTCTGGAGGCTGGAGAGAGCATGAAATACAGGACAGGGTGACAGGAGGGCGTCTCGGGCTTAGTGGAGGGCAGGGGAGAAATCTGGATTAATCCTCTGTGACGTCATACAGGGTACTTTATGTCATCTCACTTAATTCTCATAAGAATTCTGAAGTAGGTCCTGTTGTGGGGAAATGCTATTCTTCTTCTTCTCCTCCTCCTCCTCCTCCTCCTCCTCCTCCTCCTTCTTCTTCTTCTTCTTGTTATTATCAGTGAAGAAACTGAGGCTTAGATTGGTGAAAGAGTTATGTCCATATCACAAGGCTTGGGATTTATACACAGAGGTCGACTCTCTAGAATGAGGGAGGTGAATGCCTCTCTGTATGGGTCACACACTCTACTCACCTTTTACGCACTGACCTGAAAGAGGACTGCCTCTCTTTAGGCCTAGAGCCAGGAAATGGGCTCACCGAGGAGGAGAGGATGGAAATCGAGCCTCTTGGGGCGGGAACTCGCCTCTGTTGCCTGGCTCTTCTGTGCCGGTGGTGTGCTGGGCACTTCTGTATATTATCTGTAATTGAACCTAGAGAAGGGCAGGCTCAGGGCCAAGCTGGGGCCCTGAGATCTCTGCAGGGTTGCCACGGGGAGAGAAAGCAGCCTGAGAGCAGGGCTAGGAGGGCCGGGGGTGGGCATGGCTTTGGTGGGCGTTTCGGCATGTGAGGGGGAAAGATGGTGAGGGGAGTCGGCCTTAGCAGACCAAGCTCCCTTGAAGGTGGCGAACTCCCTGTACATGGAAGTGTGTAAGCAGAGACCTCATGGGGTGCCTTAGAAGGCAGCTAAGCCACTTCCAGGATCAGCTACACTGTTAGGATCCCCTCCATCCCCGACATTCCAGGACCTCTGTTACTCAGCCCTCACATGGCTTTCATGAGCAAGGGTGGCTTCCTGGAGGAGGTGGAGAAGGGACATAGCTGGATGGGAGGCTCAGGAAGGGCACCGCTGTCCAGTTCAAACAAGCCCAGGGAAGGCCCTGCAGTGGGGTGGGCGAGGTGAGCTCCCTCTCACCGCCCTCTCCCTGCCTGTTCCCCAGTATGGTGAGGTCCTCATGCTGGCCGCGGGCACGGGCCTGGCCCCCATGGTGCCCATCCTGCAGAGCATCACAGACAACGCAGATGATGAGACCTTCGTCACGCTGGTCGGCTGCTTCAAGACCTTCAAGGGCATCTACCTGAAAACCTTCCTCCAGGAGCAGGCACGTTTCTGGAACGTCCGCACCTTCTTTGTCCTCAGCCAGGTGAGCCTGAGGTGGCGGCATGCTTCCCTGGCCCAGGTCTGCCGTCCCCTGGCACCCACCCGAGGACCCACCCAAGGACCGTCTACCGCCTCTCCGCCCCATGCAGTGATAGCACCCCGCCCCCCGGGAGCACCCACACACCGGGCACGGAGGGCACGTGTTACCATGTCTGTTGTACAGAGGAGGCAGCGGAAGCCCAGGGAGGTGTCGCGCTGCCAGTGGGGCAAGCCCAGGGCTGTGTGATTCCTGTGACTGGCCCTTACCCACCATGCCTTGCTGCCTCCCTGCCGCCCCATGGTGTCCTCAGTCACAGGGGTGGGGCCCGGCAGTGGACTCAGGAGGTGGGGAGTAGACCACAGGCGTCCTTTAAGCTGTCCCACTCCCGAAGGTGGGGACCTGTGTCTGGATCTGCATTCTCCCTTCAGGGCTTAGCCTGGTGCCAGGCACAGGGCAGGCCCTCCATCCGTGCCTGGCAGGTGACCTGCATCGAGCCCACCGCGTTACTAGGGTCACTGCCACCCCAGTTTGTCCCCCATGGGAGGGAAGCAGCCGAACTCAGCAAGCTGCAGGTTCCCTAGCTGG